CGTGGCACGGGAGGAAAGCTGCGAGGCGACCGAGATCAAGGAATATATGATGAGACCAACGACGGAGGGCGGCTTGGGAGCTCACGGGTGCGACCTGAACCAGGAGATGGCTTCACGCTTCGACCAGCTGCACGAGGGCGACGAGACGCACAGGACCGACCAGCAGAGGTGCGACGCGATGCAGCTCGCAGACATCGGTTAGGCGCGCGACGACCTCCTCGGCATCATTACTCAGCTCCGTCGAACCCCCAAGAGACGGGCAACTCCCAGATGGTCCATCCCTTCCGAGATATGGCTGATTATACTCGATGAAGAGCACTGGACCACATTTACTCGCGGAGGTTTGGGTGACGATTCCAGGCCGACCACGGCGCAGGGCTTCAACGAGCGCTTCTTAGATGTACTGGCCAGTTTCCGACGCACTTCTACGACTCTGCTGCTGTTCGACGTCTCATCCCCCGTGGGTCTCGACATGCGCGCGGGGGAGACAGGCCCTGCAGGGCAACGCTGGATACACCTCTTCTGCCCGATCGGCAAGGCCTGGAAAGCCTACCTTTGGCATCGAGAGCGCAAAGTTCGGCCTCATCTTGCTTGCCACTGCCATGGCTTCGCCAGGCATCGGCGTCGAGAGGACGCCATCGCGGTACAAGACTGCGTTTCCTGGCACATACAGCGCCAAAGCCTTTCGCACACCATAGTGAATGAATGTGCGACCAATGCGTTCGCCAGTATAAAACGTGAGGCGATCCCAGATACCCTCGAGGACCTGTACGATCCAGAGGACCTCAGATCCCAGCACACCAGAACCATCCATGGGGGGCCTTCCAGATCGAAACTCAGTCGGGACCAGCAGCTCTACGACCTACGACGGGGGAGATGATGAGACATCCAAATCCAGCTCGGGCCTTCGCCATCCCTGGCCTATCGGAACCGAACCAACTCAGCCCAATGCGCCACGGCACACGAGCCCGACAATGAGACGACTGACGTAGGTATCACGACTTCGCCGACGATATCACGAAGTGCATCATCTCAGGCTTTGGACCCCCACCTTTCCCAGGAGGAGAAGCATCCAGCAGCAGGACACTATCTACTTGCTTGGGGGAGGTGAGTGTACGACTGAACGACGATACAAACAAGCTACTCTGGCAAAACGCGTCGGGAAGGGCAGCATTGGGCAGCGCCGACTTCTCCACAAAGGGCTCCTTTCAGTACCCAGGCCAGTGTGACCGTTTCCTGACGATCCTGGGGGGATGGCTTACTACGTCGGGCTCTTTAAAGGTAGAACAAGCTAAACGACTACAGGCGGGGAGGTCAGGTCTGGGCCTCATCTCAAACTTCCTGGTCCACGACGCGACCACCAGCATCAAGCGTATGTCCATCATTGCTTTCGCACAGTCTGCTCTGCTCTCAGGCATGGGAAGACGCATCCCCGATGCCACCTACCCCTCGGCCTCGGACCAGATTATGCTACGGGCACTTCGTCGGGGCTCAAGTATTCGAGGTCTCGCTGAGCACGACAGCGGGGAGCTATGCCGTTGGTTGGCACATCGGCTCTGAGTTTTCTGGCGCATCCTACCGACTACTCGAGAACTCCAGGCTAGACGACTGAAATGGTACCAGAGTTGGGCTCGACTCCCGTCTTGTCATCGCCAAGGTAGAGCAGCTATCCTAGGCGGGATGGGGGACGACGCCTCGATCGATGCGACCTGGCACCTCCACCCCAACGCGAACCCCTGGGCCAGACAACTGCACGCCGACCTTCGATTCGCGAGCGAATCCTCGGAAGAATTGCAGGACTTCGTCCCGCCCGACTTTCCTCTTCTTCTGCGACGACTACTCGAATTGGGTGGACATCGATTTCAAGGTTATTCGCGCTAGTTTTTATCGACCTCGATACGACCCCCGACTGAGACAAATAGGCAGGACGACGTGGAGGAGGAGATGGAAGTGATGGAAGGGGAGGCGGTGGGGAACGACGCTCCACGACCATACGAATGCAAGATGAGAAACGAGGACGGCCGGGCCTGTGGGGAGCGTTTCGGCACTATGAAGAGTCTCCTCCTACATGCAGGACGGGTCCATCGAGTAAGAAACGAGGCGCCCCTTCTCACGATTACCAACCAGTGTTTCAGGTGCCTGCAAGCCCTCGGCTCTCGGGAAAACGCTCAGAGGCACGTCATGCGTTCGTACCAGAAAAACGTCTGCTACCACGGCCGCAGCTCCTACGGCACCCAAGAGACTATTACCCCTTCCAGTCTGTCCTGCTCCGTTTGCAGTTGCACGGCCCAAATACTCTTTCAGCTACAGCTACACATCCGTGGACACTGTGCGCCCCCTCCGCCTCGTATCGTCACCGCCCGACTCCTACCACAGCGCGATGGCCGACATGGACCTCTCCGCCCTGCTCAAGCGCCACAAGCCAGGGGCGGGGTCGGCAGACGGGGCAGCAGGAGCCAAGGGGGCCGATGGCGCGCCGGATCACAAGAGGGCGAAGCAGCTCGGGCAGATGGCCGAGGAGGCCGAAGACGCCCTTCGGTGGTCAGAAGGCTCGCTACGAGCCAAAGATATGCAGGCAGCTATGGTGATACTCCTCAAACTATCATGCCAACACGCTCAGCAGCTTCGGGATCTGGCGGCCTCGGAGTGGATCTCGATCATCATGCCCACCGACTCGGACGTGGTGAAATCAGGACGAGAGGCAGGTCGCCTATACGCGGAGGCAGCGCAGGTGGCACCAATCAAGCCCAATCTCGCGCGCCGTGTTCAAGTGCCTCTCGGATTCGGCTCAGGCCCAGACGGATCGCCCCCAGCACCACCTCGTGCTCGATTCGTTCTTCAAGAAGTTCGTCTCGGGGGCATCCGTGCAGGAGCTCGGTCTCGTGGTCCGTCAGTTTCGTCCCATGAAGTGCTACAACGATCGGCACACGCGAGTTCAGTTCTCGATCGCCGACCAGCTTTGCGCACCAGAAACAGAGGGTCACGAGGAGATCGCATACAGCAAGCTCGAGATAGAGAACGCCATAATTCATCTGTTGGACCCCCTGGGGGGCAAGGCGAAGTGGGGGGGCAACCCCACAAGGGCACCTCGAGCCTCTGGCACAGAAGCTGCTGGACAAGGCGGGAACCAAGCAGGAGGGCAAAGGAGGCGGCCGCAAGAAGTGAGTTGGGAGACCAGGCTGGCGGCACTTCAAGAGCGAATTCGGAGCCAAGAACCTCAACGTGCATCATCGATCTAAATTTAGAAGTTTTTTTCGTGGAG